ACTTGGAAAAAAAGAATGGTGTGGTTATTTACATAAATAAAAGACTATCAGCTAAACTTATAGAAGCAGATGAAGGTGGTAGGTTTGTAGCTATTGAACTGTACACTGTATATGGCCAAATTCTTGTGATTGGAATTTATGCTCCTAACCAACAACAGGATCATTTTTATAAAATTTTGCATACCAAAATATTGCAATGGGATTATAGACCTATTTTGATTATGGGAGATTGGAATGGAGTGATTGATTCTAAACTAGATAAAAAGAGTCTGGCGAAGTCAAGGATTAGACTACCACAAACTTTTTTTGATATGAAAGAAGATTTGGAATTAAAAGATGTGTGGAGAATACATAACTCAAAAAACTTGGATTATACTTTTTTCTCTGATAGACATAGATCTTTCTCAAGGATTGATTTCATTTTATTATCAAATGATCTACTTGTTAAAACAAAAAGAACTAAAATCTTTCCAAGAACTCTATCTGATCATAGTCCAGTATGGATAGAGATTGAGACTGGAAAGATTGAGAGAAGATCATGGAGATTAAATGAAAATTTGTTCAGATATGAAAAAAATATAATAGAACTTAAAAAACAGATGAAAGATTTTTTTGAAATTAATTTGAATAAGGGTACCCCTATCGAAATTGTGTGGGATGTGAGTAAAGCATATATGAGAGGGGTACTCATTGATATGAACTCTAAACACAAATTGAATAGACAAAAGAAAAGGTTTGAAATTGAAGTGGAAATAAAGAAAAAAGAACAGTTACTTATTAAAAATCCAACAGATGAAAGAATACGTGGTGCTATAAAACTTTTGAAAGATCAATTTCAAATGCTTATGGCGGAACAAGCTGCAACAAATCTACAATACGCAAAGCATAACACATTTTGTAATGCCAATAAACCGGGCAGATGGCTGGCCTATACATTAAAGAAGAAGCAGACTATGCGGACTATTGATTGTATTGATATTGGAGGGAAAGAAATTTCTCAACAAAAATTAATCAAAGAAGTTTTTGTAGATTATTATACTAAATTATACGCTACAGATGATATACAGAATGGACTTATAGAAAAATACTTAGAAAATAAAAGAATTACAAAAATTACTAACCAACAAAAAGAAAGAATGAATTATCCTATAACAGTTGAGGAGATAATTGCAGCAATTAAACAACTGAAAACAGCTAAAGCTCCTGGAACGGATGGCTTGACTGCAGTGTATTATAAAATTTTGCAAGCAGAAATGGTAGAACAACTTAGAGACTTATTCTGTAATATACAACAAGGGGGTAAAATACCCCCATCATGGAAAACAGCTTACATTTCTTTGATACCAAAAGAGCAACTAGGTCCTAAAAAACCGGAGAATTACAGACCAATATCTCTTCTGAATAATGATTACAAAATTTATGCAAAAGTATTAGCCAACAGGTTGATGCCAGTAATTCAAGAGGTGATTCACGATGATCAAGCGGGATTTATAGAGGGTAGATATATGAAGGACAATGTAAAGCAAGTTATAGATTTATTGGAATATCTTGAGAAGAATAAACAGATCCCTGCAGTGCTGGTTTTCTTGGATGCGGAGAAGGCCTTTGATAGAGTGGACTGGAATTTTCTATTAAAGACTTTTAAAAAAATGGACTTTGGGGATCAATTTATACAGGCGGTTTCAGCAATTTATCAAGAGCAAAAGGCACAGATTATTATTAATGGAAGTTTGACAACAGATTTTAATATTGAAAAAGGAACAAGACAAGGTTGTCCGTTATCCCCATTGTTATTTATTCTAACACTAGAAGTCTTGTTGAATACAATACGGGACTCGAATATTCTGAAAGGTATAGTGATAAGGCAAGAGGATTACAGAATAAAGGCATTTGCAGATGATCTGGTTGTTACCCTAACACAGCCGATGGAATCAATAACCCAGATGATAGACATTATACAAGATTATGGCACAGTATCAGGTTTTAGACTGAACCAGAAAAAAACTAAGATGATAGTTAAAAATATGACACAAGATCGAAAACACGAACTTGAAAGGAGGGCAGGTTTTGAGATTGTTTCAAAGGTTAAATATCTAGAAGTTCAAGTTGCAGAATCAAATATGAAACTGTTTCAAAATAATTATGAGGTGTTGTGGCGAGATGTACAGAAAGACATGGAGACCTGGAAAAAACTGCAGCTGTCTTTACTTGGAAGAATAGCAGCAGTTAAGATGAACATTTTGCCAAGATTTCTTTTCTTGTTTCAAATGATTCCGGTACTTAAAAGTGATAAACAACTGAAAGAGTGGCAAAGTGGAGTGAATAAGTTTGTCTGGAACGAGAAAAAATCGAGAGTGAAATTGAAAATTATGCAAGATGTTCCAGAAAGGGGAGGTCTTAAACTTCCAAACCTACAGTTATATTATGAAGCAGCAGCTTTGACTCAAGCAAGCAATTGGTTTGGGAGGAAAAAGACTGGAATATTGAACAGAAAGTTTTGATCTTGAATTTGGATGGCATGCATACTTGTTTTATGAAAACAAAGTGGATAAAGTATTTAAAAGCCATATACTTAGAGATTCTTTGATGCGAGTTTGGAAGAAGCACCGACTCAAATGGGATTACAAAATACCGCTATGACTGGATCTTAGTCATATTATGTGGAATACAAATATAATGTCACTCGGAGGGTTTTTATATAAAGAGGTTCTTTTTGCAGATGTGGGCAGATGGCAACTGAAGACATTGGAGATACTGTTGGACGAAGGGATTAATCTAACTTGGTTACAGTATAATCAACTTCAATTGAGATGGAAAGAGGACCAAAAAACTGGTATAATGGTACACGAGGAAGAATTGGTTAGACATATAAAAGAGAAAGGTCCAATGCATATTAAAAGGTTATATAATGTTTTGTTAGAAAAGGATTCAGAAACTGAATTGGTTAAAGATTGCATGATTAAGTGGGCACAGAACTTTGCAGAACCAGTGATGTTGGAAACATGGGAAAAAATATGGGTTCAGAATGTTAAATTTACACAATCGCAGAATTTGACGGAAAATTTTTATAAAATGTTTTACAGATGGCATTTAGATCCCAAGAAATTATCCTGCATGTATCCTAATGTTCAGCCAAAATGTTGGAGATGTGATTGTTTAGATGCTACATATTATCATGTTTGGTGGAACTGTAAGAAAGTTAAGGCTTTTTGGATAAAAATATGGTGGGTTATGCAGAATGTTTTGAAGAAAAAAATTCAATTTTCTCCACAATTGTTTTTATTGGGTATAGTAAAGGGTTTTACATCGGATGAAACTAAGTTGATATTGTATATGATAACAGCAGCGAGATTATTGATAGGTAAATATTGGAAAAACGAAGCTTTGCCCACTATTGAAGAATGGACTTTGAAGATGGCCAATTTTGCAGAGATGGCGAAGATTTCAGCATATTTAAAAAATCGCTCACAAGAGACTTATGAATGGGAATGGAAAAAATGGATAGATTATGTGCAGAACAAATATCAAACCAGGAAGTATCAAATAGCTTTTTATTGAAAGTATTATACAAAAATAGAAATGTATGAATTTTGTGAAGATGAAAAATTATAAGGGGGTTTGAGGGGTTCAGGTTTTATAAAAAAAAGGGGGGGATTTTGATGGGATTATATTTTGTGGAAGTCGGGGGGGAGGGTTAGGGGGGGTTTGGGGGGGTTAGGGTGGGGACTATGGGGTGGGTTGGGGGGGAAATGGGGTGAAAATGTAATTGTAAAACTTTTGCAATAAAAAAGAACATGATGGTGACGAACATGGCATGCGGAGCAAGCAAGCACCAACCAAGGAACCGGTTTGGGGGTGTGGCCAGCCAGCCATCGCTACCAGTTCGGCGACCTTGGCCAAATTTCTGCCAACGATTCGCATGAACCAGTGCAAACTGGCTGAATACCACCTCTGCCTTGGACCCAACTGCTCCTTGACTCTCTTGGGATGGAATAACCTCACGTGCCCTTCCCTTCCCTCCCCTCCCCTCCCCCCTCCTCTCCTCTCCCCCCTTCCCTTCCCTTCTCCCAGGGAGTTTCTAAGGCCGAGGATGGGCTTCAACCTGGATCTCTCCAATACTAGGTCACCCTCTCACACTCTGTGCTGTCACTGTGCCCAACAGCCCAAAGCAGCCAACTTAACATAGCTCCACTACTTTGCTCACCCTCAGCAGACCAATGGCTGGCCTTGGCCAACAAAAGTTCTTAGGCATTCCAGACACCCACCGTAGAAAGACAGTTAACCATAGCCAAATTGGCAAGGGGGCTTCTTCCCTTATGAGAGAATCCTTCTGTTTCTCCGTGTTCTGTTTCTCCGTGAACATCCCCAGTATTTGCTCCTTGGCTTCCCTCAGCTCCCCCGTTATTGGGGGCCTCCAAGGTTTTGGTGGGCCATGCTGCGTGTCCTCCTCTGGGCAGACCCTCCACCCCCTGTGCTTCCTCTGACAACATCTCAGGCTTAGCAGGGGGTCTCCATTCCTCCTCTGCCTGGAGAGGGTCCGGAGCCTCCCTCCCTTCCCTCGGACCTCTCCTCTCTCGGAAGGGCCTCCCTCCCACTGCTTGGCACGCATCCCCACAACCATCCCGGTGATGGAAGGCTGTGGGGAGGGTGAATCTGCATCAGACCTGCAAACAAGCCCAAAGTGCCAATGCAGCCAATTCCAATTTCCTTGGCAGCTTAAGCATTATGTGTAGCCTTCTGCAGATAAGTCATTTTAAAATATCCTTCAGATAAACACATGTCCAGCATCTGACAAAATGAAAACTAAAAATAAATTAAAACTATAAAAATAATTACAAAATAATAAATAAAAATTTAAAAACACAACAAACAAGCAAATGCAAAGGAGAGACTTGATGGATCACCAGGTTTTTTTCTGATGTCACTTTTCTATATTTCTGTACAAACAGGTTGGGCTCCCAAACCTGATTTATTACACAGATTTTCTGATGCCTACTTACGTTGTGGACGTTTTGCTGGAGCTGCTGGACCTAATAAAAGACAGAAAATCAATTCACCTCCAATATGTCAAATGGAATCAGCCCCAGGCTAATGCATGACCCAAGAATCCTATCCCCAGAAGCCCAATTTCTGCCTAAAGGTTCATCAAGCAGGCGGCCTTAATGAGGAAGCTTTGATTTACTGGCTGAGATGCTGTAGGAATTCCATTCCAGTCAAGGAGGAGGAGGAGGAGGAGGAGGAGGAGGAGGAGGAGGAGGAGGAGGAGGAGGGTGGGATCCTTGGAGCTCTCTGAGCTTGGTTGTGTTCTTGCAGACATTCCATTACCCTACTAGGTAAGAGTGAACTACTTGGGTAATGAAACATCTGCAAGAAAACAGCCAAGCTCCGAGAACACCAAGGACCACAGAGTTTGGGGTGAGAATATCATCAATATGCTGATGACATCAATTATTCTTCTGGACCCCAGGAAGATCAAGTGACAGTGTCAAAGTCCTGATCCGGTGCCAGGAAACTGTGTGGGCCTAGATGGAGGTGAACAGATTCAGGCTTAATCCTGGCATGATTATGTTTATTGGACTATGGCCATTTTGCGGGAAGATTCCAATGTTGGTCTTAAGACGGCTTGTACCTATTTATTTATTTAAATTTATATGCCACCCATCTCACTAGCAAAGCAACTTGCTGTCCATTGTACCCAGTTTGGGGCACATTTGCACAGACCTCCAAAGTCCCATCCAATGATGATGATGATGACGACATATTTTGAGGAGAAGATAGCAGAAAAGATAGCTTACCTTTTGCTGGTGGTGGTTTGGGAGCCATTTTACCTCATCAATGCATGTAACATCTCATCGCAATATGCACAGCTGGAGAATGGAGCAGATTATGAGAATTAATGTAAGTGGAAATGCAAACATTTTGGTTAAAAAAAGAGAAAGTGGTCAGCAAAACAGAGACAGCTTCAGAATTAACTAACCTCCTTTCCAGGATTTTATGTCCTCCTTAAATCGTGGTTGATATGATTGATAAATCATGATATACCATATATTTATATTCCTGTCGTTGTCTTGGCAGCTCCACCTCGAGTGTTACCCCCTATGTGAATGAAGAGGTGGGACCCAGACGGATTCAAAGTTAGCATCTAGTCCTTCGAGGCAGGAAACCAGAACCACTTTGATTGCTGCAAAGATCTTTATTGTTGTGCAGTAATGGAAAGGGAGGTTAAATGTCTGCCACAGACATTCGCCAGCTCACTAGGAATTTAGCCTAATTAAGCAGAGTTGCTCTTAGTCTCTGGCACACAAATCATTTGGGTAATGGCCCTCCTTCCTACTCTGTTGGTCATGCTCTGTTTTGTGTTCTCAGGCTCTGATCAGTGGTGAAATCCAATTTTTTTTTACTACCGGTTCTATGGGCATGGCTTGGTGGGCGTGGTGTGGGCCTGTTTCCTGGCCTGATGCCTCTCTGGAAGCAGGGAAATCTGGCCTCCATGCTTCTTTGCCAGCATGCTTCCTGCATGCCCATCCTGGCCCGGTTGTGATGATTTAACACCCACTCCATCTGGTTATGATCAGCCCCCGCCTTTCCTTTGCCTGCTAACCAGGGGTGAAATGCTACCGGTTCGCTCTGGTTCGGGTAGTGATAAAAACTACCGGTTCAGGCAAAGTAGTAAGAAAGGTAGTAAGAAAAAGCTACCGATTTGGTTAAACCTGTGGTTTAAAAAAGCTACCAGTTCCTCCGAACCGGTATTTCCGACGATCAGCTGTGCCGTGGGGTTTGGCTTTGCTAGAAAGCAGGAAATCCTGCTTTCTAGCTAAGCTAAATTGCACGGAACAGCTGATTTCCCCCCCCCCTTGCTGTTCTACTTATCTTCCCAAGCTTCCTTTTGGCACGTATTGTGCATGCATGCATGCGCACAGTGCGCATTTGGTGGCACTGCACTTGCACATGCAGGGCACACTTGGCGTGCAGCGTGCATGCACAGCCAGCAAACCAGAAGCAAACTGGTTCAGATTTCACCACTGCTGCTAACTTAGAAAAGATGTGGCTGCGGAACAGTGAGGGACAGCCGGCACTCACCTCTCACTTGTCATATCTCCCTGGGAGCCGTTCTTCTTGCCCTTTGCCCAGCTGGTCATGGCCTATTTGGAAATAAGATGGGTGAGCCCAATAAAGATCTGGCTCAGGTTTCTGATCTTGGGACCCTTCTCCATTCCCCCAAGATTTGAGGAGCTGTTCTTCAAATCCTGCCCTTTCCAGGCCTATGGAGCAGCCAGGTGCCTGACGGCATTCAGGTGTTGGAAGAGGAATGCTGAGGATGGTCAAGTCCCATCCTCTCAGTTTTAATTGAATTTGGTTTTAATTGGGTTGTTTTAAATTATTGGACCGAAATTATTTAATTGTTTTTTAAACTGTTTTTAAATTTTATATGCTATGTTTTATCTCGGCTCTACACCGCCCTGAGTCCCGCAGGCGAAGGGCGGTATAAAACTAAAATAAAATAAATAAATAAATAAAATAAGTGGAAGGGGCTCTGATCCTGTCTGCACAAGCCCAAACTCCTCACAGCAGGGCTTGCCTCTTCCTCTTCCTCCTCGCTTCCACACAAATTGGTTGTTAAATTATTTGAATCCTACCACTGGGTAAGACCACACTTGAAATTTTGCATCCAGTTTTGGTTGCCACAATATAAGAAAGATGTTAAGACTCTAGAAAGAGTACAAAGAAAAGCAAGAAAGATGATAGGGGGCTGGGGTTTAAAAATATACGAAGAGTGGTTGCTATATTTGAGGGGCTGCCACAAAGGAGAAAGGGTCCAAAGCACCTGAAGGCAAGAGAAGAAGCAAAGGATGGAAACTAATCAAGGAGAGACCCAACCTTGAATTAAGGAGAAATTTCCTGATAGTGAGAACATTTAACCAGTGGAACAGCTTGCGTCCAGAAGTTGTGGATGCTCCATCACTGGAGGTTTTTAAGAAGAGATTGAACAACCATTTGTCTGATATGGTATAGGGCTTCCTGCTTGAACAGTCGGTTGGACTAGACGACTTCCAAGGTCCCTTCCAACTCTGTTATTCTGTATTCTGTTACATCTTTAGGAGAAAATGTGGAATAGATTTTTGGGCCTCTCCTTAGAAGACTTGGTGATAAACTGGCATCCCATTCCTCATTTCCTTTCTGGCCAAAGTTACCTTCTCAAATGTAATGTAGAAGGACTCTATGTCCTCCCCTGAAGTCAATTTAGGGTGTTTAATATTCATTGTAGGATCGCAGATCGCTCAAATGCAGCCCAGAAATAAAAGGTTGGATTGCACTGGATCGCACAGCAATGAACATGCACCAAATATGGAACAGCAAGGACATCAGCCTGGCAACCAAGCGTAGGTTAGTCCGCCCTATCGTGTTCCCCATAGTTACCCATGGTTGTGAAAGTTGGTCCTTAAAAAAGCAAGACGGGAAGAAAATTGGCTCATTTGAGTTGTGATACTAGAGAAGGCGCCTGCGTATTCCTTGGGCAGCAAAAATGACTAACAAGCAAGCCCTGGAGTGCATAACACCAGCATGTCACTGGAAGGAAAATCAAAAACTGTGTCTCCCTTACTTTGGCCACGTCATGCGGAGGAATTCACTGGAGAAGGCAATTATCTTTGGAAGAGTTAGCGCTTAGGAAACTAGGCCGTCAAAGAACATAGTGGCTGGACACCCTCAAAGCTGACCCCAGCCAGAGCAGAGAATGACCTGAAGAAGCAGCGCAAGATCAGAAGAGGTGGGGGGACCACCTGGCCCATAGAATCGCCAAGAATAGGACACAACTGAGTGAATAACATCATCATCAATATTCATTGGGCTTTCCCAGTCACAGGTTGGCAAAGAAGCTCTAGTCTCTTGCATTGGACTTCTTACTTGGATGCTTGAGCGTGTGTGAATCGTTTCCTTAAACTCCTTAAGTTTCCCTATCTAATTTCTCCCATTGCTGTCTCTGTCTTACCTCTCCAGGTTCTGCCTTCTTTTTGCTGTTACAACCTGCCCAGGAGTGAAATTCAGTAGGTTCTGATAGGTTCTGGAGAACCGGTAGCGGAAATTTTGAGTAGTTCAGAGAACCAGCAAATACCACCTCTGGCTGGCCCCAGAGTGGGGTGGGAATGGGGATTTTGCAGTATTCTTCCCCTGCCACGCCCACCAAGCCACGCCTACCAAGCCATACCACACCCACCAAGCCTCAGAACCAGTAGTAAAAAAAATTGAATTCCACCACTGAACCTGCCCCAATTTTCTCCTCGATTCCCTCTCCCTGTTAGTAGAGGGTAGTGGGCATAGAAACAGGATACCTACCTAAACTCTGGACTCTTGGTCTGTTACCAGAATTAAACTGTGAGTAGGAGCTCCACCGGACTTACTCTTTGTGTCTTCAGCTGGATTTTCCTTCTGACAGTTTTTGACAGTTTGTTCCCTTATGAGGTAGAATATTCAACTTCTGCCTCTTTTCCATTGGCTGGCTGATGGGCCCAATCAGCATTCAGCACTTAGATTTCCTTCTTTGACCCCCAGAATCCTGCATATTAATTTGTGAATTTCAGATGTATTTCACAGTGAATTTTCTTCTACTGGTTGAAAACTGTCTGACTGGCAGAAGGGGCCAGAGGCTATTGCAAAGCCCTTGAAGCCTATTTTCAGAATTGCAAGAAATGAATAGATCAATTTGGAAAAGAAATCAGTCCAATGTAAAAACCAGATGCAATTAGGAAATATACGGAATACTACCTTTTTTTGTTTTAGTTAGGATTCAAGCTTGCTTGCAAGTGAACCTATAAAGGTATTGTGCTGTGCTCCTTTAAACCCTGTTTCCCCACCTCGCCCCCCCCCCCATACCATAACTTAGTATTCTGGGAGAAAATATTATATTTGGAGTAACAATAGCCTCTCTGACTGATAGTAGACCCTTGTGAGATTAGAGTGAGACGTTCTAAGGCGTTTCTATTAAAAGGCTGCTTGGGGGGCAGGTCAATGCCATTCCTCTCAATGTAGTGGGGGTGGGGAGGCAAATAATATGTCCTAATGATTCTGAAATGTTTACTAGACGGAACAGGTGAAGTGAAACAGCCTGATGCCCTGAAAGAGAAGGGGAGAAATAACAAAAACTGAGAGCCAGTTTGGTCTAGTGGTTAAAGCACCAGGCTAGAAAGTGGGAAATCATGAAACCACAGAGTCAGGTAGTGCATTCCAGGCACTGACCACTCTGTTCCTGAAGTCGTATTTTCTGCAATCGAGTTTGGAGCGGTTCACTTTAAGTTGGTATCTATTGCGTGCTCGTGTGTTGTTGCAGCTGAAGCTGAAGTAGTCATTGACAGATAGGACAAATATAGCAGATGATTTTATGTACTACACTTAGGTCAGACTGAAGACGGCGAAGTTCTAGGTTGTCCAAGCCCAAAATTTTGAGCCTGGTGGCATAAGGTATTCTGCTGTGAGCAGAGGAGTGGAGGACTCTTCTCGTGAAATACCTCTGGACTCTCTCAATTGTATTAATGTCAGATAAGCAGTGCGGATTCCAGGCAGACGAGCTGTATTCAAGAATTGGTCTAGCAAAGGTTTTGTATGCCTTAGTTTGCAGTACAATATTACTGGAGAAGAAGCTTCGCAAGATTAGGTTGACAACGCTTAATGCCTTTTTGGCAATGCTGTTACAGTGAGCTCTGGCGCTTAGATCGTTTGAGATGAGTACTCCAAGGTCCTTGACAGAGTGAGGGTCGTCTATGAGGTCATAGATGAGGTCATATTTGCTTTGAAGCGAAACATTTTGAAAGAAAAACCAGACGATCCAGTTGCCTTTTGAAAAAGCACCTTTGGGACAACCATGACCTGGATGATGGAGAATCTCCAAAGACACTGAATTCTCAAACAATAAAACAAAGGACCAATTAAGCTAGTGTTTCTCAACCTTGGCAACTTTAAGATGCAGGGACTGCAACTCCCAGAATTCCCCAGCCAGCTATGCATTGTTTGTATTAAGACTGAGTAGCCCTCTCTCTACTGACAGGGAGGGATATGACACCTTCTATCTCCCATTTACTTCAGCTTCAACAAAAACAATACAAGAGCACACAATAGATACAAACTCATGGTAAACCGTTCCAAACTAGACTGCAGAAAATATGACTTCAGCAACAGAGTGGTCAACGCCTGGAGTGCACTACCTGACTCTGTGGTTTCTTCCCCAAACCCCCAAAACTTTAACCTTAGACTGTCTACTGTAGACTTCGCCCCATTCCTAAGAGGTCTGTAAGGGGCATCCATAAGCGCACCAGTGTGCCTACCGTCCCTGTCCGAATGTTTTCTTTTATTCGTATCCTTTTCATGTATTCATAATTATGTTTACACTTGTATCTCTCATAAAATACATGCTCGACAAAATAAATAAATACAATAAAGAAATAAATAAAAATCAGTGGAAGAGCTTGCCTCCAGAAGTTGTGGGTCCTCCAACACTGACAGTTTTTAAGAAGAGACTGGACAGCCATTTGTCTGAAATGGTTTAGGGTTTCCTGGTATAGGATGTTGGACTAGAAGACCTCCAAGGTCCCTTCCAGCTCTATTTGACTGAAATAGGGAGCATGGGATGAAAGCCCACGCTGGAAAAACTCAAAATAGGTCTCCTTGGCACCTTCACTGACACGCTAGTAGGAGGCACACTTCTGCTCATCCTGATCTGGAGGGGTTATTCTATTATTCTAAGAGTGGGGAATGTCTCACCTTTTCCACAGCTCTTTAACCCTGGTAAAGGCTAGATCTGAGGCCCAGATTTTCCACGACTGATGCCACACATGGAACGCTGAAGAAGTGAGCCAGTCAGCCAATCAGGGAACCACATAAACTGAATGGGAATTCTGGAATGATGGTTGAAGGTGTTGACAGAAGGATCGATGCCAGGAGGGAAGAAAGGCTGGGAGAAAAGAAGCTGACAGAGGCACCACCACATTATCCGCAGTCTTCCTTTGGAGTGGAAGGGAGGTTATTCTTGAAAGGTGAACATCAGCTTTTCTCACTGGCCAGCTGCGCAGGATGTAACTCAGCAAAAGCCTCACAGCTGATGATTTGGTTGAAGGGGAATGTCGGGGTTGAACTGAACCCATCTGTAAATATAACGGGAGGGGGGGAGGGGGAGAGGCAGCCCCTTTGGGACCCTCACTTTTAGCAAAGCAGATTGGATGGAACAGGACATCTATAATCTTTCTCAAAGGACCCTCCCCTTTGGCTGCCTAAACATCATTCTCTCTTAGACACCATGGAGTAGTGCACATTGAGATGGCCGCAGAGGGCAGCAGGATTCCTCCTCTCACTCTCTCCCCCCCTCTCAATCCCACTATTTCTCTCTTCTGAGAGGTTCGAGCACCCAGAGATGGGCATCCCCTTGTGGGGCTTCAAGAGGAGCTGCAGCAGATGGCTGCACAAAAGGGGAGAATGAAACAGGGCAGGAAAGAGGGAGCAAAGAGTCAGCATGTGCTACAAGCAGAGGCCTTGGAGCCACTGCCTGAATTGGTGTCTCTGTGCATTTCTTTGTTATGTTTCACACTGCTAAATCTACACTGAACCTTGCTGTCTTACCTCATCCTATTTTGTGGATCAGAGGTAGGATGTGCCCGAGACAGAAGGATTTCCACGCAGCCGAGAGGGACCTTCTTCCTGGGGAAGGTGCCCTGAGTGCCAGTTGCATTCTGAATGGGGCAAGGAGGAGGGATGGTTCAGCAGGAGGCAGAAGGAATATTTTGTACGAGTGAGGAGGAGGACTTCCCTTTCTCCTGCCAACCTCAGCGGCTGCAGGATATTTGGGGAGCCCATTCCCTGAACATTTTCACAGCTGGGAGCATCCATGGATCCTCCGTTTCTCTGGGCTTTGCTGCTGAGCTTGGATTCACGTTCCCTTTTAAGGGAATAGTGGTGTCCTGGCTCGGAGGAAAGGCCACTTATGTTTTCAAGTAGGAGATGGATTACACCCCCTGAGAGATCTCCTCTTCTCGAGTGACAGCAAGTTTACCGAGCAAGCAATAGCAATCGCTCTTAGCTTTATATACCACTTCACAGTGTTTTTACAGCCCTCTCTAAGCGGTTTACAGAGTCAGAATAAAAGTGAAGTCATTAATGACACTTACAGAGTCACTAATAGTTAACTTTCTGCCAGAACATCCGTCCTATGGAGCATCCTTCCTGAAGAGATTAGGATGGCCCTGATCCTGCTGGCCTTTGGTACTGGTTGTGTGAACAACTATGGGCTGTAACATTGTCCTTGGCTGCTGTGCTATTTTAATTTTTGTACTTCTGATGGAAATTTATTTCTAATTCATTTAAAGATAGTTCACTGCCCAGAGTCACTTGCTGAAACAGATGACCATTCAAGTTGAATAAATAAATGAAATGTCTCCTGCATCATAAGATTTTAGAAGCTGGATGACATGAGAGGCTGATATGGCTGAGAACTAAATTGTCCAAGTACCAGTCAATTTGGGGAGATATCTGGATTTTGCTGTGATGTCTTCCTCTTGGGGTTCAGAAACAATAGAATTCACCTGTATTAAATTTTGCTGACGTGTTTATTCTAATTTTTCAGCTTTAACCTATCCATATGACATCATGGTCTGCTTGTAGAAGCATCTCTATGATACTTTCCCACTTTTATTTATGACAAAAATTTTGATTGGATTCATTGTTTTGGCCTCATGATGCCTATGTCTGCATTTATGTTGCCTGAAGGAGACAACAAAGAAATGGAAATTTGGACAATTGTTTGGGATTTTGTATCTCCCCTTAGTAGTTGGGGAGTGGGTGTTGTGTCTTTTATTTTGCCAAAAACAAAGAAAGCTTAAAAATTAAAGGAAGTTAAAGTGATGTATCTTGAAACTGTAACTATTTTCCATGGCTTCTATTTACACTATATTTTAAAAGTCCAACTCCACTTCAGTTTGATCTTCTTTTCTCTTTTTTAATTCTATTCCTGTTCTGTCCAAGTCTTATACTTTTATTCCACATTTTCCCCTTGTTTGCTCTGGGTTGGGCTTCCTGGCATTTTCTCTTTTCTTCTCCCGAATCTTTGCTTCATCTGAGGGAAACAGCTGAGAGAACTTTTCCCTCATGCCTGTCTGAGGGAAGGACAAAGATGCCTCTCTGCCCTCATTTCTTTCAGCTGCTGCCTCCTTTCCGGAGCCTCTCCTCATCAAGGCAGTCTATCTTTTAGTTGCAATCTTCACTTTGATTCCTGAGTTTCGGCTTTGTTTATTCGGCGTCTTCCTCATAAGACCTGTGGTGGTAGAGCTTCAGGCAGCCATTTTGTCTTCCCTCCTTCTTGCCTCCTGCCTAGCAACAGTTCTTTGATTAGCCACTGCTGTTTGATTGGCAGCTGGGTTGCCCTGACAATGGTCTTGAGGGGCGGGAGCAAGGAGCTTATAAGGCTGGTGGTCCCTCCACAGCAATCATAAGATAAAATATGGAGGTACAAAGACTGCTCTTAGTAGAAAAAAGCAGGCTCTTTTTTGAACCTCAGAGATGCAAACATTAAAAATGGAAAAAAGTGTTTGAATCTCTCAACACAGACCCAAAGGTGGTTTTTCAGGATGCATCTGGACTTTCTTGTTTTTTTCTTTTTGAAGACGTTTCGCTTCACATCCAAGAAGCTTCTTCAGCTCTGACAGGATAGTGGGAAATGGAAGGATTGATATTCCTTGCAGACAGCTGGTCATTTGCATCCTTTTAGAGAGTCGTTGAGGCCACTTGGAGGTTTACCTGTGTCCTCAGGGTCACCTGAGTAGTAAAAATGGTTCCTGTAGTCTGCAATTTTTTCCTCTGGAAATCCATTCCTACTCCCACACTATTCAAAGGGTCTTCATCCCAAATTGTGTAGCTAAAAGTCTGTAGAGATTGTCAGTCATCCAGGCCATGGTTGTCCCAAAGGTGCTTTTTCAGGAGCCAGCTGGACTTTTTTGTTTTTTCTTTTCTTTAAATCTCCAAGTGCTTCAATGACCCTCTAAAGGATGCAGATTTCAAGCTGTCTGCAAGGAATATAAATCCTTCCACTCCCCACTATCCTGTCAGAGCTGAAGAAGCTTCTGGGATGAGAAGCGAAATGTCTTCAAACAAAAAAAACAAGGAAGTCCAGTTGCCTCCTAAAAATTAACTTTGGGACAACAATGACTTGGATGACTGAGAATCTCTACAGATTCTTAACACAGATATACCCACTTTTTATATGGAGTGTAAATTTGAATATAAGCTTCCCAATTATTCAAGCAAGAATCCTACAGATCAGTAATCCCTTTCTAAGATGGATGAGACCCATGGAGCATTTGCTTCTCCTGCTCATTTGTTTTTATTTCTTTATATATCTAATTTAGAGATTGTCTGCTCCTTCCCACCCACCCCCCAAAGCAACCCAGGGCTGGCTGGCATTTGATCATTGGCAGATTTAGCTGCCTTTGGGGATGGCGTATTTTGTGCCGCTTCAGCAACACATTTCTATTAACAACGCATGGGGAAAGCATATTTCAGTCAGAGCAAGACAAGAGCTATAAGAGGCTGAGAAGAATTGTAGGACATGCCAGTCAAGGGGATCCTGAGATACGGAGAAGGATAAAAGAGGAAATAGTGAGTGACAATCTGCAAAGTCAGAAAGTGGTGTTAATTTCTTTGAGGAAGAGGATGGTCCTTCTCCTCACGAGGCCATTGCTGGGCCCACTGATCCTTTTCATCAATCTTCATCCAGTCTCCAACCTTTCCTTTCTAGACGGGTTATTGAAAAGATGGTTGGACAAAAGTCCTGAAGGAAGGAGGTGACCTGGACCCATCTCATTTGGCTTCAACCTGGGACATTGTACCTAAATGGCCTTGTATGTGCTTGTCAATGACCTTTGGCAGGGCCAGGATTGGTGGCGCATCCATCTTTGTGCTACTGGATGTCTCAGTGGGTTTTGATCCTGGCAACCATGGTCAAAGCTTCGGGGATTCGGAGTGGAGAGCACCATATTGTGGTAGTTTTCTTCCTTTCTCTGTGGTGCTTCAAGATAATTTCTATAGGCAAGAGTTTTGGACTGCAGCAGAGGTGGATTTCAGCAGGTTCTGACCAGTTCTGGAGAACTAGTAGCGGAAATTTTGAGTAGTTCAGAGAACTGGTAGTAAAAATTCTAACTGGCCCCGGCCCCATCTATTCTCTGCCTCCCAAGTCCCAGCTGATCAGGAGGAAATGGGGATTTTGCAGTATCCTTCCCTTGGAGTGGGGTGGAATGGATATTTTACGGTATCCTTCCCCTGCCACGCCCACCAAGCCATGCCACGCCCACCAAGCCACACCCACAGAACCGGTAGTAAAAAAAATTGAAACCCACCACTGGTCTGCAGCCCTCATCGTTCTTCTTTTTCTGGGAACATATCATTTTATATTTTAATAGTGCAAAGCAACCAGAGTCATTGAGAGTCAGGGCATTTATTTAAATCTATGTGAATAAGTAGAAGTCGATTGAATCACCAAACGTTGAGTTCAAACTTCTCCAGGATCTTCCAAAATCACCTAATTCAATGCTTTGAGTGAGCTTCAACTGAATGGAAATTCAGTCAGATCACCCTTGATCTGAATCGATCCTTTGAGTCTTGTGTTCCTATTCAATAAATGTTGTTATTTAAGGGCTGGATTAAGTGGAAGAGAGTTCCAGATCCAACATGGCTTCCAGAGCCAACGTGGCTTCCAGATCCAACGTGGCTTCTAGATCCAATGTGGCTTCCAGATCCAATGTGGCTTCCAGATCCAATGTCAGACGAGCGCAGCATAATACAGGTATGCATGTTTTATGTATATGATTACACAAAAGAGTAGGATATATAAAAGGGGAGATTACAAGAATCAGGAAGAGGCTGAAGTGGACAAAACTATTGAAGATTC